TGTGCTTTTAGGGTTCATCTTTTTACCATGCCCAAAGTCCCAACTCCTTATCTGGAGCTCTCATACAGTACATTAAGTACAGAGGGAGCTCTCCAGTGCACACAGGTGGGTAATGACTATATGGTTCATCCCTGTAAACGGTCATCATGATAGAATGGGCAGGCTGGAGTGGCCTCATAACCCACAAGAAAAGGGCAATCAGTGAACACCATTGTAAATACAACCCATATTTATGTTTATTTATTTTCCCATTTGTACTTTAACTATTTGCACATTGGTACAACACTGTATATATACATAATATGACATTTGATATGTCTTTATTATTTTGGAACTTCTGAGTGTAATGTTTACTGTTAATATTTATTGTTTATTTCACTTTTGTTTACTATCTACTTCACTTGCTTTGGCAATGTTAACGTTTCCCAAGCCAATAATAGAATAGAATTGAGAGAGAGAGAAATAGAGAAATAGAGAGAGAGAGAGAGAGAGAGAGAGAGAGAGAGAGAGAGAGAGAGAGAGAGAAATAGAGAGAGAGAGAGCGAGACAGACAGACAGACAGACAGACAGACAGACAGACATACAGACAGACAGACAGAGAGAGAGAGAGAGAGAGAGAGAGAGAGAGAGATAATCCTCTGCATAATCATCAACAGCAGACTCGTACATTTCCTCAGTGAAAACAATGTACTGAGCAAATGTCAAATTGGCTTTTTACCAAATTACTTTACGACAGACCACGTATTCACCCTGCACACCCTAAATGACAAACAAACCAAAACAAAGGCAAATTCTTCTCATGTTTTGTTGCATGAGGGTCTGCTATACAAATTGATGGAAAGCGGTGTTGGGGGAAAAACATACGACATTATAAAATAGGCTACATAACATTCCCACTTCCTTTACCCTGGTCAGAGGGCAAGAGGGGACAGGGCGCATTGGCTGTAGTTGTTATCAGTTGCCTAGTTGATCAGACTGAGAAATCGTCTCGTTTTCTTCCCATGTAGTTTAGGTGTAGGCTGCTGCAACATTTCTGTATAGAGTTCTTGCTTTTGTATGTCGGGAGTGATGTGTTATTACGTTTGCTAAATAAAAAATACCGGAGGACAGTGGAGCGGCGCGCGCTTTGCTAGATGACGTGCTTTGTGCCCGGCCTGCCTAACCTGTGATTTCTGTGAATCTGTTTGGTCAAGACACAGAACAGAACGCACAGACCTCCAGCACTCCGATATAAAGGACAGATAGGCTTACATTGTGCATGAGATGACAAATCGAGTCTCGAGACTCATACAGCTCAAGTCCAAGTTAAGTCACGAGTCATAGATGTCAGTCTGATCAACTAGGCAACTGATAACAACTACAGCCAATGCGCCCTGTCCCCTCTTGCCCTCTGACCAGGGTAAAGGAAGTGGTAATGTTATGTACCCTATTTATAGCCCATTATTTGTGTCGATTGGCAAGTGTTTTTTCTTTTTGCCAAGTAAAGTCTCAAGTCGCAAAATACTCGAGTCCAAGTCACGTGACAATTCCACATATCAATTCAGTCCTTACCTGGCTCTATCGGTGTCCGCGGTCCCATCATCGTAAATACACGTCTTGTTTATTATAGAATATCTGCTGCACATTATCCATGCAGCCCCGGCTGTATCACACTGGTGGACGATGCCTTCCGATAAAAAAATAAACCTTGGCTTGAAACCTTATTCATGGATCGATTACATAAGAGGGGCGGGAAAGGATAGCGACCCCTGCAGATGGCCCTTGAAGAGGGTCCAACGGAAAATGCACCCGTGAGGTAGAGAAATTCGAGCATTTTCTGGTCCTCATGTAGAAATTATGATTAACCTACACTAGGCGACATCCCGACAGTATTTTCCTTTTATCTTTCGATTTTACCAGGCTTCTGTTCTTTTTGAAAGACTACTTGAAGTTGACATTTTCTTTCAAAACAGAAACAACAGTCTCTACTTACGTTAAATTTTTCGTTAGAAAATATAACGTTTTCTTTGTAAAGAGATCAAACGCATTTCAAAGCAGATACAGTCAAGTGACAGCATCTCTGTGGTCCCTTCAGGATAGCATCATCCATGCCTTGTCTACTGTCACACAACAACTGGCCTCCTCCTCTGTCCCTGTGTAAGGGCTGTGTGGATGGAATGGATGGGATAACGCGCGTTCTCAGAATCCAACCAAAGCTCTTTGCCCACACCTCGCCATCTGCCGGACAACCTTGAAATTATGTTTAGCATCTTCTTCGAAATAGGCGTGTAATAAACAACAATTAGTAGACTGCACGTGGACGGGGGCGCCCTATAATTAAAACTATTTTAACAGAATATGGCGTTTAAGAGACGCATGCGACTTTCTCCTTAATTTGCGATATCTGTGGATGTGTGTTTTAATTTGAACTCATCATAATTTCTACAGAAAGCTTGCCTGTCGGGAATTATATGACTCACATTCAAGGGAAGGTTGTAGGCTACTGTAGATAGTTGGCTTTCTGGGGTTATTATAGCGAGGTGCACTTTATCACTCAAGAGTCCTCTGGTGGCTTTGAGGAGATTGTAGCTCTACCTTCTCTGAGATTTAAGTGATTTCTTTGTTTACACTGCAGCTAATTTTGGAATAACACTGACCTAGAATTGTTGTGTTTGTATAACAGTATGTTGCATTGGCCTACATGTTGATGTTTGTAAATGTTTGACTGCATCTCAAAGCTCAATAATCAAACACTATTTACAAATAGTACAACTGTTTTTGAATTTCAACAATAAATCACAATAATTTATGTCCTTTGGTCAAACATTTTGAAATGAAAACACAAGAAAATAAATGGCACCCCAATAAATAAACACTTATGTAGGCTACATGTAAAACACCAGACAATGCCACTAGCCTAATTCTTAGAAATTACATTTCTATTAGCTATGATTCTATATACCTTCAACCATTATGTCTTCAGCAACTGGTTGTTTATATATTCCCTTTAAATTTAAGAAGATATTCATGTTCTGTGCAGAGAGCAGTCACAGAGAAAACCCTTCAGAAAACAGTAGAAATGCTCACCAGCTGCTAACATGAGTTGAAATGCTGGATGTTTTGTCACTGCTCTGGGGGCAACTGCTTTGCTGCTTCCAGCTTCATTACTTTCAAAGGGTCTAAACCACTCAGAACTTTCCCAAACATTCAGTCATCAGTTAATTTATCTCCCTTTAAAATCTATTTTTTCCCACAGATTTGGTTCTCTCCTGGTTGCAGTTGTTATAATCTGATCAGGGACATTGTTTTCTTTGCCTTTGGCAGGAGTTTTGACATTGGTAAGTGTTACTACAACAGGCAACTATATCTACTACTATCAAAAATCTGATCTACTGTAAAAACACAACGGCACTCATGATGACCGTCAAGCCCATTTCACATGTCGCCTTAAAAGGAAATCCTGAATCACATCCTTTAACCTTTTTTCATCCAGCCACTTCCCTCATAGGATGCGTCCCAAACAGCCACGTGAACCTATTCATTATAGTGCACTACTTTTGGCGAGGGCTCATAGGGGTGTGGTCACAGTATACAGTATAGGGAACAGGGTGCCGTTTGGGATGCAGACAAATACTTCCTAAATGACCTTTCTCTTTTCTCAATCTTCCTTCTCAACCTTCTTTTTCTATTCTCAGTCTTGGGGGGGAAAAACCCTCAACCCCTCTTGACCCTGCCACTTCCGTCCACACTCATCACACACTGATCAATAAAGTACCTCTGAAGAAACGTAATACTATTTACAGTTCTCTATGGTGCCGTTGAACAAATGGCATACAGCTTCCACTGTGCTTCTTACATAGAGGCTTCCTGCCCATAGGGGGCACAAGGGCACGTGCCCCCTCAGATATTTGTTTTAAAAAAAATACTTTTAAAATGTTTTATTTCTTTTTTATTCATTTTTCATATGTTAAAATAATTACAAAACTCAATTTTTAAGCCCACATTTTATCATAATTATTTATAAAAATATCTGTCAGTGGTATTTTGTGGTGGGGGAACACTGACTGGACCAGGTAAAGATGATCCCCTCCCCCCCTATTCTCCCTAGTAAGTGGTTCCTTCCAAGGTGCACCACGGAGCAAAGATATGCTAGGCAGGACACTAGATACTCTAGTGCGTGCAGACAGTATGGTCAGTAGAGGAGGAGAGAGAATGTCGAGTGACACCCACAGCGTTTTATTTCATTTTAGCTAACAGTGATGGGAAGGACTCACAGGAGGTATGCTTGTAAATTAATTTAATCAAGCGATGTACCCTGTTGATTCCTTTTTTAAGTTGGCTTTAGCTAGACAGCAAGCTACGTTCCCAATCTCTCAACCTCATAACTAGCTACCAAGTCATTTCAGGCTATCAATCAAGTTAGAGTAGCTAGCTTGTCTAACTATGTCAGCTGGCATGCCTGCTGACAAGGTTGCTAGACTTGAGAAAATACTGAAATTGCTTGAATCTTTGGGTTATGATACTATATACCAGTGTGGCAGTTGTACTAAACTCCTAAGGCATAGACGTTATTAAAGAATCAGTGCATCATTAATTAAAATGACAATTGAACAGGTAAAGATGTATGCTTAGATAACCTTTTTGCAGAAAAATACTCTTATTTTTTTTTATTTTTTTTTTACATAGAATTAGGCATTATAATTATGGCTCTAGATTGCAGGAGCAAGCTGTTTCAGGTGTTTGAAAAATGCAAAATTCTCCAACTAGACAACGCCCCCTCCATCCTCATGTACTTCGTGCCCCCTCTAAAATAATGTGTGTATGACGCCCCTGGTCCATAGTTTCATAGTTCAGGTCTCACTTAGGAAATACTTCCTGGTTAAATAAAGGTTAAATAAATAGCCATATATGTTTACATACCATACGGGGGATTACAGTACGATTTCGACTTGGACATACACAGTATACAAATCTATATCATAAATCCATATTCTATTGTACAGCAACGTTATTATCTCCAGTTACAGGCTGTAACCATGTTTGGTCTTCAACATGGCAACGTGGCCTCCCGGATGCTTGGTCTTCATGCTTCCAAAGTGTCTGCAAACAGATCATGGAGAATAACATATTATTCTCTGAAACTAATACCCAAATAAATATTATTGGACTAAATACATAAAAATACATGAGATTCTCTTTCATAAGAACTTGGCTGACGATAAGCCTAAGAAGAGATTGTGAGAGTAGACTATGCAAACACCACATTCTTACAAGGCAGTTCCAGTGCACAACTATAATATGGACCGTAGTTACAGTCTTTATCTTCTACATTTTTCAAAGTAAAGCATCATCTTTGATCATATTGGTTGTGCACAGCCTATCCCACATTTCCCCATCCCACATCGAATGTGACATACCTCCATGTGTTTGACTCATGGTTGTAGAATTCTATTGTTTTCAGATTGGTGATGCCATCAGAGCCTCCCACAGCCAACAACGACCCGTTGAACACAATCAGAGACATCTGAAAGAGGTGGACAGGAGAGGAGTGACATTGAGCTACAAGAGCTAATGTGAAAGGTTGACTCCACAAGATGGTATCATAATAAACAATGGGCAACTTCCCACATGCAGACCAACATTATCAGTAACCAAATCTGACTGGAGTGGCATTACTGGCTCTTCGAAAGGCTGTGTGCCAACAGCCAATTATGTCAGTCTCTTGAGATTTGGTTGATGTTGATGTTGGAAGTGATCTGACCAATAGGGTGGCCAGAAAGGGTGTGCGTGACCAATAACTTGCGTTGTTTCTCATGCATCTCATGCGTTTGACGGGGGAAACGCATGAGACAGACAGATTACGAAACAGAAGGTCCACGAAACAGATAGACCACGAAACAGATAGACCACGAAACAGATAGACCATGAAACAGATAGACCACGAAACAGATAGACCACGAAAAAGATAGACCACGAAACAGATAGACCATGAAACAGATAGACCATGAAACAGATAGACCATGAAACAGATAGACCATGAAACAGATAGACCACGAAACAGATAGACCACGAAACAGATAGACCATGAAACAGATAGACCATGAAACAGATAGACCATGAAACAGATAGATCATGAAACAGTGATGGCACCAATCATATTATTGTTGTTTTCTTCATCTGATTCTGGGTAGTGGGCTAAATCTCACTGAAATAGATTTACAAACAGGTTACTGGGTTCTTACTGGATTCTTACTGGTTACTGTAAACTATGCTGTCATATTCCTGTGTTATTTCTAGCAAAACCCCTAGTGACTGGGTTTTACAAACGCTGAAAAGGTTATGGGAAATTTTCCTGACTTTCTCTTCTTACAGACGGAAATATGCACTGACAACTGGCAGCACATCATAACCCTCCCGAGTTTAGCATTGGCTGATTCCAGGGGCCCAAGCCCCTGGAGTGTGTGTACTGTGTGTGTGTGTACTGTGTGTGTGTGTGTGTGTACTGTGTGTGTGTGTGTTGGTACCAGACAAAAAGGTCACATCATTGTTATGCATGACCAAAACTATGCAACATTTTGAAGAGTTGGTGTCAAAGTCAATGAATTCCTCTGGATAGCAAAAAATACAAAGAAACGTCTACAACCTCAGAATGTATAGGCCTTATACTGGAAGTAGGATCAGGAGTTTTTCTGACCACATGACCTCACCAGGACAAACTCTGGGCCTCCCTATAACATTTACATTTACGTCATTTAGCAGACGCTCTTATCCAGAGCGACTTACAAATTGGTGCATTCACCTTATAGCCAGTGGGATAACCACTTTACAATATGTTTTTTTTTTTTTCTTTCTTTTTTTTTTTGGGGGGGGGGGGGGGGTAAGGGGGGGTAGAAGGATTACTTTATCCTATCCCAGGTATTCCTTAAAGAGGTGGGGTTTCAAGTGTCTCCGGAAGGTGGTGAGTGACTCCGCTGTCCTGGCGTCGTGAGGGAGCTTGTTCCACCATTGGGGTGCCAGAGCAGCGAACAGTTTTGACTGGGCTGAGCGGGAACTGTGCTTCCGCAGAGGTAGGGGGGCCAGCAGGCCAGAGGTGGATGAACGCAATGCCCTCGTTTGGGTGTAGGGACTGATCAGAGCCTGAAGGTACGGAGGTGCCGTTCCCCTCACAGCTCCGTAGGCAAGCACCATGGTCTTGTAGCAGATGCGAGCTTCAACTGGAAGCCAGTGGAGTGTGCGGAGGAGCGGAGTGACGTGAGAGAACTTGGGAAGGTTGAACACCAGACGGGCTGCGGCATTCTGGATGAGTTGTAGGGGTTTAATGGCAAGATAATATAATAATAATATGCCATTTAGCAGACGCTTTTATCCAAAGCGACTTACAGTCATGCGTGCATACATTTTTACGTATGGGTGGTCCTGGCGATCAAACCCACTACCCTGGCGTTACAAGCGCCATGCTCTACCAATTGAGCTACAGAGGACCACAAGATGGCCAGAGATCAGATTTCCATAGAGCTCTGGAGCACAGACACAGATGAACCATAGATTCTGTCCTAATGCGGTACAGGGCAGCCGGAAAACGTGTGGCGAGGCGGCATTTGCCACAGCACTTTTGATTTAGTTTAATAAAATATATTGAAGGAAAGCGTTAAAAAGAGGGGCAAAGTGCTGATTTACCTCATGATGTGTCAACTCGAGTACAATTTCTCTCTCCACATCTGAATGCCCTGCAGGCTCTTTGTGTGTCTTAACCAATCAGATTCACGGAAATCGCAGGATGCGCACAATGCACAAAGCTCAAGGCATGCTCTCCACTTTCCTCCGGTATTTATTTAGCAAGCCTGGTAACACATCACTCCCGACAGACACAAGCAAAAACTCTTACATAAATGTAGCAGCCTAAACACCTAAACACTAGCCATCTGACATGCTGTGTTGCATGGAAACAATACTATTTTTCAGTCTGGTTGACTGCAGGCTACTGACAACAGCAGCTGCATAGTCTAGCCCGGCTATGCGCCCTGTCCCTCTGGTCAGGGTAAACGAAGGGGTAACGTTGTGTATTTATAGCCCATTTGTTTGTGAGAAAATATGAATGGGATCAAATTTGGTTTATTTTCAAACTTGGCCTGACTAGTGTGAGAGATTTATTATTTTTATAATTGATGGGATGACTAACTTAGAAAGAATGCATTCTTGACTGGGCTAATGTAGGTTGTGACACCTGGCAAGCTGTGATTGATGTGAAGAGCTGTTTTAGGGTAAAGTGAGATAGGGATTTGTGTCTCCAGATACTGGAATATACTGGTTCTTTGTGATCTGTGAACCTTCCTTGGACGTAGGAATGGTGTCTAAGGGAGCTGGCTCTTCTCACTATGACAGGTTGTTATGATATGGACTTATGCCTGGCAAGAGGGGTGCATCAACGGATAGGCTGAGTAAGTCTAAACCACGCTCAAGTCTTTGCTCTGATTGGCCAACAGAGAGGTGGGAAACTCTCTCTCTGTCAGAGTATTTGAGCAACAATCTAGAACAATGGATTAGTTCTCTGGGGTGCCCTGCGAGGTATTTCAGAGAGCCCGTATATACGAAACATCATATTTACCATTGAAGGTTTTTGCATTAATTAAAATAACTAGTATATTTTAGAAGTCGTGTTGACCTCTTTTGTTCCTAATGCCAGATTTGAATTGACGCAACTTTGACACTACCTAGACTTTTTCAATCTGATATTATTAACTGGAATTATTAATCAATAAACACAGTAGCTGACATAGACTGTGAGTTAATGTTTTATTAGGCCTGCAGTTGCATAGGGCAGGACTACACGATGCAGACCTGCATAAAGCAAGCTCAGCCTTGTGCGTTTTATTGTCCAATGATCATGTTGCTTTCTCTGTGTCTGTGTATAGGAAACCCCCCTATTCCTTCTTTAAAATATAATTCATATGAACAAGTACATGATTGCTGCAGTTTGACAGGGCATTCATCCTCCCCAAGACCAGGAGTTTTTCAGGAGTTTTTTTAAACCATGTGACCTGATTAAAAAAACTCCGGTCTAATCATAGCCCATATTAAACCTTTTTACAACAGATTAATCACGTATATACCATATCAGGTCCAGAGTTTTACCTGGTTAGGTCACCAGATCAGGAAGAACTACGGCCACACCACTCTGGAGCCTGAGGTGCCACCTCTGATGTGGTACATTGAGTATGGTAAGCCTCTCTGTTAGCTTAATGTGTTATTCAGACCTGTGTTCATGGGTGTGTCTCCATCGTTGCCTCCAATCACGTATAGCTGACCATCCATCACAGCAGCCGTTGCCACAGAACGCCGACTCAGCATCGGGGCCCGCTTTATCCAGCTGTTCATTATGGGATTATATCTGGTGGAATACGAAGAATATACAAACATCTGTTTCCAGAACAAAACTAAGATTTAATCAAATGTGTTTTCCCTATCTTCCTTCATAAGATCACTAGTTAAACAGAGATACCGAAACTATGTCTGAATATTCATTCAATTCTCTCTTTCCTCTGTCCATCATGACATGTAATAACAATAATTAGGTGGGTGGTTATATTTGACCTGTTTCACACAGTGTGAATTGGAAATGTGTTTTTGCATATCCCAACTCCCCCTGAGACACCCTTGGAGAGTGGGGTCACGGCCAGGGTCAGCCATTATCAACGGCGACCCTGGAGCAATTAGGGTTAAGTGCCTTTCTCAAGGACACGTTGATATATTTTTTTCAGTTTGTCGGCTCGGGGATTCGAACTAGCGACATTTCGGTTACTGGCCTAACATTCTAATCACTAGGCTAAGTGCCACCTGTCAAAAAGCCTATCAAAGGTCAACAGGTCAAACTTGGTTATCTTGCTGTCACCTTCAGTATTCAGGTAATTCACAGAAAACCGGAAGCGTCTAAATGCTCTTTAGATGCTTCCGGTTAGATGGACCTTAGATGGACCTTTGTCATGATTTATCTATCTCAACCACAATGCAACCACTGATGAGAACATGGCCTTACCTCTCAACAGTGTTGGTGCAGACCATGCCGTCGTATCCACCGAGGGCGTACAGATATCCCTCCATCTCCACCAGACACACTCCGCTGCGGGGGCTGCTCAGGGGGGCCACGTCGTTACTCCAGGTGTTGGTCTCTGGGTCGTACCTGCAAGGAGGAGAGGAACACAGGACTGATGGTTGCTGATAATGGGCCTCTGTACGCCTATGTAGATATACCATTAAAAATCAGCCATTTCCAGCTACAATAGCCATTTACAACATTAACAATGTCTACACTGTATTTCTGACCAATGTGATGTTATTTTAATGGACATAAAAAATGATTTTCTTTCAAAAACAAGGACATTTCTAAGTGACCCCAAACTTTTGAATGGTAGTGTATATCAGTGATTACCTATGACCATCTACACTACCGGTCAAAAGTTTTAGAACACCTACTTTGTAGAATAATAGTGAAGACATCAAAACTATGAAATAACACATATGGAATCATGTAAAAAACCAAAAAATATATTTTATATTTGAGATTCTTCAAATAGCCACCGTTTGCCTAAATGACAGCTTTGCACACTCTTGGCATTCGCTCAACCAGCTTCACCTGGAATGCTTTTCCAACAGTCTTGAAGGAGTTCCCACATATGCTGAGCACTTGTTGGCTGCTTTTCCTTCACTCTGCGGTTCGACTCATCCCAAACCATCTCAATTTGGCTGAGGTTGGGGGATTGTGGAGGCCACGTCATCTGATGCAGCACTCCATCAATCTCCTTCTTGGTAAAATAGCCCTTACACAGCCTGGAGGTGTGTTGGGTCATTGTCCTGTTGAAAAACAAATTATAGTCCCACTAAGCCCAAACCAGATGGGATGGCATATCGCTGCAGAATGCTGTGGTAGCCATGCTGTTTAAGTGTGCCTTGAATTCTAAATAAATCACAGACAGTGTCACCAGCAAAGCACCCCCACACCATAACACCTCCTCCATGCTTTACGGTGGGAAATACACATGCGGAGATCATCCGTTCACCCACATGGCGTCTCACAAAGACACAACGGTTGGAACCAACAATCTCCAATTTGGACTCCAGACCAAAGGACACATTTCCTCCTGTCTAATGTCCATTGCTCGTGTTTCTTGGCCCAAGCAAGGCTCTTCTTCTTATTGGTGTCCTTTAGTAGTGGTTTCTTTGCAGCAATTCAAACATGAAGGCCTGATTCATGCAGTCTCATCTGAACAGTTGATGTTGAGATGTGTCTGTGACTTGAACTCTGTGAATTTCTGAGGCTGGTAACTCTAATGAACTTATCCTCTGCAGCAGAGGTAACTCTGGGTCTTCCATTCCTATGGCGGTCCTCTTGAGAGCCAGTTTCATCATACCGCTTGATGATTTTTGCGACTGCACTTGAAGAAACTTTCAAAGTTCTTGACATTTTCCGTATTGACTGACCTTCATGTCTTAAAGAAATGATGGACTGTCATTGCTCTTTGCTTCTTTGAGCTGTTCTTGCCATAATATGGACTTGGTCTTTTACCAAATAGGGCTATCTTCTCTATACCCCCTTTACCTTGTCACAACACAACTGATTGGCTCAAACGTATTAAGAAGGAAATAAATTCCACAAATTAACTTTTAAGAAGGCACACCTGTTAATTGAAATGCATTCCAGGTGACTACCTCATCAAGCTGGTTGAGAGAATGCCAAGAGTGTGCAAAGCTGTCATCAAGGCAAAGGGTGGCTATTTGAAGAATCTCAAATATAATATATATTTTGATTAGTTTAAAATTTTTGTGGTTACTACATGATTCCATATGTGTTATTTCATAGTTTTGATGTCTTCACTATTATTCTACAGTGTAGAAAATAGTAAAAATAAAGAAAAACCCTTGAATGATTAGGTGTTCTAAAACTTTTGTCAGTAGTGTACAGTGGGGGAAAAAAGTATTTAGTCAGCCACCAATTGTGCAAGTTCTCCCACTTAAAAAGATGAGAGAGGCCTGTAATTTTCTTCATAGGTACACGTCAACTATGACAGACAAAATTAGATTTTTTTTCTCCAGAAAATCACATTGTAGGATTTTTTATGAATTTATTTGCGAATTATGGTGGAAAATAAGTATTTGGTCAATAACAAAAGTTTCTCAATACTTTGTTATATACCCTTTGTTGGCAATGACACAGGTCAAATGTTTTCTGTAAGTCTTCACAAGGTTTTCACACACTGTTGCTGGTATTTTGGCCCATTCCTCCATGCAGATCTCCTATAGAACAGTGATGTTTTGGGGCTGTCGCTGGGCAACACGGACTTTCAACTCCCTCCAAAGATTTTCTATGGGGTTGAGATCTGGAGACTGGCTAGGCCACTCCAGGACCTTGAAATGCTTCTTACGAAGCCACTCCTTCGTTGCCCGGGCGGTGTGTTTGGGATCATTGTCATGCTGAAAGACCCAGCCACGTTTCATCTTCAATGCCCTTGCTGATGGAAGGAGGTTTTCACTCAAAATCTCACGATACATGGCACCATTCATTCTTTCCTTTACACGGCACCATTCATTCTTTCCTCAGTCGTCCTGGTCCCTTTGCAGAAAAACAGCCCCAAAGGATGATGTTTCCACCCCCATGCTTCACAGTAGGTATGGTGTTCTTTGGATGCAACTCTGCATTCTTTGTCCTCCAAACACGACGAGTTGAGTTTTTACCAAAAAGTTATATTTTGGTTTCATCTGACCATATGACATTCTCCCAATCCTCTTCTGGATCATCCAAATGCACTCTAGCAAACTTCAGACGGGCCTGGACATGTACTGGCTTAAGCAGGGGGACACGTCTGGCACTGCAGGATTTGAGTCCCTGGCGGCGTAGTGTGTTACTGATGGTAGGCTTTGTTACTTTGGTCCCAGCTCTCTGCAGGTCATTCACTAGGTCCCCCCGTGTGGTTCTGGGATTTTTGCTCACCGTTCTTGTGATCATTTTGACCCCACGGGGTGAGATCTTGTATGTCTTCCATTTCCTAATAATTGCTCCCACAGTTGATTTCTTCAAACCAAGCTGCTTACCTATTGCAGATTCAGTCTTCCCAGCCTGGTGCAGGTCTACAATTTTGTTTCTGGTGTCCTTTGACAGCTCTTTGGTCTTGGCCATAGTGGAGTTTGGAGTGTGACTGTTTGAGGTTGTGGACAGGTGTCTTTTATACTGATAACAAGTTCAAACAGGTGCCATTAATACAGGTAACGAGTGGAGGACAGAGGAGCCTCTTAAAGAAGAAGTTACAGGTCTGTGAGAGCCAGAAATCTTGCTTGTTTGTAGATGACCAAATACTTATTTTCCACCATAATTTGCAAATAAATTCATTAAAAATCCTACAATGTGATTTTCTGGAATTTTTTTTCTCAATTTGTCTGTCATAGTTGACATGTACCTATGATGAACATTACAGGCCTCTCTCATCTTTTTAAATGGGAGAACTTGCACAATTGGTGGCTGACTAAATACTTTTTTCCCCCCACTGTATATCAATGTAATACCTATCACCATCTTTTTATCAATGTATTACCAATCACTATCTATGTCAATCTAATACGAAAATACAGAAATCTGGCTTGAGCTGTGTGCTTTTTCATAGGGAGAGTAAGGATAAATCCCCAAGACACTATCTTAGGCATGGTATGAGGACAGGCAAATCAAACCAATCAATGAAGATCAGTGGTCACATAAATGACTTAAATGCTCTACTGCAGAAGTGCCAACAAGAGTAATTCCTCGATTGGTGAAAAAATGTGACATAGCAAATCATAGATTGAGCATGACATCAGTTAATAGAGTGGAAGTATCACAGACTGCCCCCAGAGAGACGTGTTCTCCCTCCTGCAGGTCCCAAATAGGACACTCAGTGTGGGACCTAATCAAATGATGAGATACCTGAGAGCCCAGGGCACGTCTGGCTCTCTGCTGCTGTCTGGTGCTGTCTGCTCTCCCATCAGACAGACACCGACAATGAAAGGTTTTGCTCTGAGGGAACGCAAGCAGTAAAGGGTTGTCTGTAATCTCTAGGGGTTGGAGGAGCAGAGAGTGGAAGTACTATTCAGCAGACTAGTATCCTAATTCTCTTTCATTTATACTGAAATGTGCAGTCATGCACTCCTCCCCAAGAGTACAATTTGCTGCATGCTATTGAGGAAGAGAATTGTCTTTTCAGACCGACGTGTGTTTGACAACAGCTGATAATGAGATAAGGGTACACGCTGTAGCCACATTAACGAATGACGGGAAATGACGCAATTGCCCATCAGATGAGGCATTCTCAGAATGGGTGAACATACACACTAAAAAAAAGTTATTTGGGGAAGGGTGATGGTTCTATGTGAAACTATACTGACCCCAAAAAACATGTGAGCCCTTCAATGGTTCTTTGCAGTTCACAAAGGGGTTCTTTCCTCTTTTAGTGATAATTAAAATATAGGGGCGGTGACTCGTTGAGTAGTAGGTGCACAGCTCTTTTTGTACAACCCTGAGTGAGAGTGTCATTCCAATGAATCTAATCTGTTGTTTTATGCTATTACATGTCATATATATATATATATATGACTATGGCCAGTGACGGTTCTTGTGAAATACTCACGTGTGGTCTTGTGTCAATTGAGAACGGTTTATTAAGTCAGTAGTTCTCAGTTCTTTCCTCAGGGACCCCCAGCCATTCCAGAGCTAGCACACCTGATTCAACTTGTTAGTAAACACAACAAGAAAACCTATGGAATATTAACTATATAATATGGCTATTAAACCAGAATAAAAACAACTTTGATTCTACAAAGAGATTGAGAAAGGTTCTTTATAGAACCATACAGGTTCCATTTAGAACATTATGAGCATGGTTCTTTATAGAACCTTCAAAAAAAGGTTCCATGTAGAACCAAAAAGTTTTATTCTATGGTTACAAGCCAAATAATCTTTATTTGGCACTATATAGAACCATTTGTTTTTAGTGTGTAGTATGTACAGTATGTTGATATTTGTTGCATACATTTTTTACTAAACAGAACGTTCTAAATAGTATGTTGTACAATTAGTACACAGTATGTGGTTTAACTAAGTATTAGGCAAGACAGATTTCGGCCAGATACTTGTAGAGATATACTGTAGCCTAGGGTTTGAGACACTGAGAAGTCTGCCGGGTCTAAGACCAAAAATGTGATGAGTGCGTGCGATACTGCAGAAGTTGAGAAGTGCTGGATGTTTCTAGGCAACGTAATGCTATCCACACCCCTCACCCCCCATGCCCAACCATAAAGAGTCCTCCCTCCCTCCCAACCCCTCACCCCCAATGCCCAACCATGCAGCGTCCTCCCTCCCCACCCTCACCCCCCCATGCCCAACCATGCAGAGTCCTCCCTCCCTCCCCACCCATCACCCCCCCATGCCCCACCATACAGAGTCCTCCCTCCCTCCCTCCCTCCCCACCCCTCACCCCCATGTCCCACCATACATAGTCCTCCCTCCCCACCCCTCCCCACCCCTGACCCCCCATGCCCCACCATGCAGAGTCCTCCCTCCCCACCCCTCACCCCCCACCATGCAGAGGTCTCCCTCCCTCCCCAGTATCAGCACTCAGCACTGACAGCGCTGGGCCTCAGGGTGCTGATTAAGAGGCCTGTCAGCCTGTCCCCACATCCATCATGGATCCATCATATCCATCACCATCACACCTCAATCCTGGGGAATGCTCTCTGCCTGCTTGGACCACCACCCCCCCAAACCCAGTCCCCCCTGCCTAGACCCCCAGCCTCCTCTCCCTAGACCCCCAGCAGTGAATGCCTGTCAGCCCTAAGCCTCTGACCAGACCCCCGACAGACCCGACACTCACCACCACAACGCCCCGTTCACACACTCACTCTGACACACAGCGTGGGATGGATATTTCTCATACAGCACTATAACTGTGACCCTCTGAAATAGGAATTAAAACTAAAGCTTTACCAACAGTTCTATGGGCAGCCATCTTGAAACGCCCTTACCTCTCCACACTCCTTTTGCAGGTGACACCATCAGACCCGCCCACCGTGTAGATATTCCCGCCCAGGCTGCACACAGCCACGTTACCACGGTGATTGATCATGGAGGCCATGTTCTTCCACTCATTCTCCAGGGGGCAGAACCGTTCCACCGGGCAGGACGGGTCCTCCTGGTTCCAGCCGCCAACTGTAGGTAGAAACAGCCATTGATGTGAAGGTGTAGGTTACTTTATTGACAGGCCTGTATTTATCTGGTAGTATTTAGACTCATAATTAGAATAGTAATGACTTTTTTAATGATTGCTCCTCTGTTTCTTTGAGATGTATTATTAGCAGTACTGTATACAATATAATTTGGTCTATATTCAATCCCACAATTAAGAGGACTACTCACAACCCACTATGCAAAAACTGGTTGAATCAACATTGTTTCCACGTCATTTCAACCCCAAAAATGTGATGACGTTAAATCAACGTGGAAAACTGGAATTTTGTCTTTTTTTCACAAACTTTTAACCTAAATCCAATGACATGGTGAAATGTTTTGTTGATTTCACATTGAATTCACGTTAGTTGACAACTCAACCAAATGTAAATCAAAACTAGACGTTGAACTGATGTCTGTGCCCAGTGGGAGGTCTCACTCACTTACTACTACCAATAACCATTTTACCCAGGACATCTAAAGCACTTTGCATTCTCAAAAACACCAAGTTTATTTTAGCTTATCATTCACACCCATAAGCGGAAACTGTGTACCTCAGCCCTACAGTCACACCCCAAAATACCAGTCCTTATTGTCTGAGGTTAGGGAGAATGTATGGACATGTCACCCTCCTCTCCCTCAGGAGAGACGTGTGACTGTAGGGCTGAGGTACACAGTGTGTTGTTCCTCCATGTCAAGTGAGGTCATGAGTGCCTGCACCAAGCAAAAAACTGTAGATAAAGCTGCAGTGTTTACCCCCGCACCCCCCAATTTTTTAATTTTTATTGCAGACTGAAGTTCAGTTTAGAGATATATGGAGCACAAGATAAAATAGAAGTGTGTTCTCGCTTAATCTTTATATTTACTGAATTCAATATATTCCAGCCAGCGAACATATCAACCATTGATTTAATCTAAAATGTGCTATAGAGCAATGGACAGCCAACAATCTGCCAATTTGAAGGCAATTTCCCCAACATTCACTGAGGTTAGTAAATGCTGCGTATGTTGGCTCACGCTTTTAAACCTTTTAAAGTCAAAAGCAATATTCTGCTTCACCACCTTGGACTAAATCCCATCCTAAGTGTCAAACTGAATCTAATAAGCTTTGGCTTGCACTCATATGAACCTATCTGTGAAACACTCAAATTGCACACTCAAATTGTCAGGTCATACATTGACACAAACATACCTGTAAATATTGCTTGGCATTCACCTTCTCCTTTAGAGATACGCGACGGCATTATACATAACGTTCGGTATGGTACCTAAAACTTACTGCACTGTATGGCAGAGTAACTGACCACGTAGGTTGAACAAAGATGAGCACATCTTTAAGGGGGAGTTACTGACCCATGTACATGATGTCGTTGAACACGTCTGTAGGGGGGAGTTTGGAGTGTTGTCTACGCAGGGACATGGGGCTCGGGATACCATGGCGACCACTGACCGCCCCTTGTCAAGGGCCTCCCTGACACACGCACGCACGCGTGCACACACACACACACACACACACACACACACACACACACACACACACACACACACACACACACACACACACACACAGAATCAGAATGAAAGGTCATGTAATGGTTAGTAATAATTCACATTTATGATTTTTGAATTAACTGGTATTTACAGACTGTACAAATACTTATGAGGTGCCTCCAAGGATCAAATATGCATATCCTGTGTATATTTCTCAGCTTTCAAAGTGTATCCTGATTAAAACATCTTTGGCATTTTCTTGGACATTATAAACTGCACCGTCATCACCATGTTTCTTCTGTCTCATGCGTAATACACTCTCAAAGCATCCATAGAAAGATTCAGAGATGCTGAAGAGTGACAGTCATTCATTTACTCCAACCATAAAACATACTGTACACCACAACTCCAAGAAGGACTCAAATTACCCTCGTTCATTGGACACTCCCATGTCTCCTCAGCTCCCAGGTCAGATCTCCAGCAACAATATATTTTCTCTTGACACCTTGACAGCTGGTCAAACCTCTCTTTCACAGTCTTGTCTATCTATATATGTTCACTTCACAGTACTCTCTTCTGCTGCTTCATGTCTATCCTCCTGCCCAGCTCTGTCCAGCCGAGTCCACTGACTGACAGTTTTCTGCTCCCTACAGCTGAATACAGATACATGTCACTCCTAGCGCCTGCCCCCTCTACCCTCCCCAGAAACCTTACCAGGCACCAGCTGTGCCATCCTGAGTCCTGACTCATACATCCTGAAAGACTGATATTCTAACCCCCGTCATGCTTCTTTAGAATCCTTATGCTTCTTTAGACTGTATGATTTAGAATGGACCGGATTCCATTCCAAGGAGCACCGCCAGGATTGTCTCTGTCCAGACTTAGAAGACTTTAATCTTAGTGGTGTCATACATACAGTAAGGGGATGGTTGGATGGAGAGAGAGAGAGAGAGAGAGAGAGAGAGAGAGAGAGAGAGAGAGAGAGAGAGAGAGAGAGAGAGAGAGAGAGAGAGAGAGAGAGAGAGAGAGAGAGAGAGAGAGAGAGAGAGAGAGAGAGAGAGAGAGAGAGAGAGAGAGAGAGGAGACTGCATGTGTGTCTGTGTGAGAGAATATACTGTCTATTGCCAGAGACTATTGGAGACCTTTTGGCTTCATCAGCGTGATACAGTACAAATGACTGGAGTGGTGAAACTCATATAGCGATTATATTGCCAGAGGGGCACAGAGCTGTTACCGTCTGACCTGACCCTTTCAACTCTCCCTCTGAACATTTCACCTTCCTCTCAGCTTCCATAGTCACCTGTGACCTGTAGGTCCGTCTATATTTCTATGGCCACCGCTGAATACCTAAAATATTCTGGATATTTATTTTAATGTGGGTCAGAAGAGGCTAAAATAACAGATCAGCATCATTGTCATCTTCACATACAACACTTAGCTTCTCCAACGTGGGTGACTACGGACCAGCGAGCTACTGGTGGTACAGCAGTCTACTTGACTCACTGAGTAAGACTGACATTATTCTTAATCAGCAACTAAACATATTGGCGTAGTTGGCTTCCAACTCATACTCATATTTTAACATTAGGTTGAAATGTTAACATTTCCATTGACTGCATCAGTATATATGAGCTGCCAATACTGGATGAAACATGAATTGTAAATCAGTGATTGACTTTTACAACATGCCTCAGAGAGTAAAACAGAAGAAGGACCTAGTCTGGGAATGTCAATATTCATGCAGATTTAAAAACCAGAGCACGCTTACAAACACACATGCTCAAGGCATCATAACTAATAGATGGACTTTGGGGAGAGTTGGAAGAGTTTTATCCTCTTGGCAGAATTTTTTAAAATAGAAATGAAAGGAACACATAGACAAACACGCCCCAGGGAACAACACTTCAGGTATATTGGCCAACAACTCAACGAGGCCTGTCAAATTAATCCAATAAAACAGACACCCAAAGATCTGAAGAATCAGGTGTGAAGGTAGTTCCTATAGTTGTTTTCCAAGTTTAAAAACAGTAGTTTATCCTCTGGTTGTGTGTAACGCTCTAAACCTTCCCATCCTCACCACAACAGTCCTACACCCAAGTCCTGGGAACCATCAATGAGCCCCAAACCATTGTACCAGGCCTTTAATGCTGTCACATACAACCCTGGCCCTTGGTAGCACCCACCAGGCACCACCTCAAGGTGTAGTCTATCTGGCCACAGTAAGATTGTATCTTTTTTTTTTGTTGAACAAAAGGGCAAATTAAGTCATACAAGCAACAATATTGACACACAGGTCCATATATGCACGCATGCAAATGAAAACATTTACTACTAGCTCTAGTATTTCCATTTCCATCGTAAACTGGGCACTGGAGGACATAAATGCTGCCACTTCAATTTCAAAAGACATTCCAGGTGGAAAAAGGCAGCTGGTAACATGCTCTCTTCTGAGCTACTAAAATCTTACTGTGGCCAGGAACACACCTGTATAGTGCCAGCTTTCCCCTCTCCAGGGGTTTTCATATGGAAATAAAGGGTTTATATTGAACAGAAGAGGGAAAGCTAAGTCTTTAAAACATCAATATGGATTTAGGTATCAGTATACGCCATGTGAGAGAGCGTTAACCCCAGTTTCTCACTCCCTGGCACTCCCACACTCTTTTTCCCCCTGATTTATCACATATAATAAATATAGCTTTATTGTACATGAATGCTTCTGCAGATTATTTTGGAGATCTTTATTTGGAAACCCTGATATGGCAGAGAAGGTTGCACAAAGGTCAATAGAGGGTGCATCAATTTACAAGTTAGTTCAAAATGAAGGACAGACCAGATATACAGTGGGGGAAAAAAGTATTTAGTCAGCCACCAATTGTGCAAGTTCTCCCACTTAAAAAGATGAGAGAGGCCTGTAATTTTCATCATAGGTACACGTCAACTATGACAGACAAAATGAGATAAGTATGAGATACGTATTTGGTCAATAACAAAAGTTTCTCAATACTTTGTTATATACCCTTTGTTGGCAATGACACAGGTCAAACGTTTTCTGTAAGTCTTCACAAGGTTTTCACACACTGTTGCTGGTATTTTGACCCATTCCTCCATGCAGATCTCCTCTAGAACAGTGATGTTTTGGGGCTGTCGCTGGGCAACACAGACTTTCAACTCCCTCCAAAGATTTTCTATGGGGTTGAGATCTGGAGACTGGCTAGGCCACTCCAGGACCTTGAAATGCTTCTTACGAAGCCACTCCTTCGTTGCCCGGGCGATGTGTTTGGGATCATTGTCATGCTGAAAGACCCAGCCACGTTTCATCTTCAATGCCCTTGCTGATGGAAGGAGGTTTTCACTCAAAATCTCACGATACATGGCCCCATTCATTCTTTCCTTTACACGGATCAGTCGTCCTGGTCCCTTTGCAGAAAAACAGCCCCAAAGCATGATGTTTCCACCCCCATGCTTCACAGTAGGTATGGTGTTCTTTGGATGCAACTCAGCATTCTTTGTCCTCCAAACACGACGAGTTTAGTTTTTACCAAAAAGTTCTATTTTGGTTTCATCTGACCATATGACATTCTCCCAATCCTCTTCTGGATCATCCAAATGCACTCTAGCAAACTTCAGATGGGCCTGGACATGTACTGGCTTAAGCAGGTTGACACATCTTTCACTGCAGGATTTGAGTCCCTGGCGGCGTAGAGTGTTACTGATGGTAGGCTTTGTTATTTTGGTCCCAGCTCTCTGCAGATCATTCACTAGGTCCCCCCGTGTGGTTCTGGGATTTTTGCTCACCGTTCTTGTGATCATTTTGACCCCACGTGGTGAGATCTTGCGTGGAGCCCCAGATCGAGGGAGTTTATCAGTGGTCTTGTATGTCTTCCATTTCCTAATAATTGCTCCCACAGTTGATTTCTTCAAACCAAGCTGCTTACCTTTTTAATTTTGTTTCTGGTGTCCTTTGACAGCTCTTTGGTCTTGGCCATAGTGGAGTTTGGAGTGTGACTGTTTGAGGTTGTGGACAGGTGTCTTTTATACTGATAATAAGTTCAAACAGGTGCCATTAATACAGGTAACGAGTGGAGGACAGAGGAGCCTCTTAAAGAAGAAGTTACAGGTCTGTGAGAGCCAGAAATCTTGCTTGTTTGTAGGTGACCAAATACTTATTTTCCACCATAATTTGCAAATAAATTCATAAAAAATCCTACAATGTGATTTTCTGGATTGTTTTCTTCTCAATTTGTCTGTCATAGTTGACGTGTACCTATGATGAAAATTACAGGCCTCTCTCATCTTTTTAAGTGGGAGAACTTGCACAATTGGTGGCTACTAAATACTTTTTTCCCCCACTGTAGTTATTTTTTACCAAATTACACTAGTCAAAAGGCACTTTATTAGTGGAATGACCCAGCTGAGTGATTGAGTCAGGTGCTCTTGTCCGGGAATAGAACAAAAATGTGCAACCTTGGGGAACTTGACGGAGTTAAGAGTGATCTAAACAGTATAGATGTTCACCTAATCAATCAAAACGGTCAGTTTAATTTATTAAATGTCAGTTAAAGTTGAAAAAATTCCAACTGAAACTGAAAGTCTGTTGATAGTCCGAGCAAGGTACAGACCATCTACTGTATCGAGGTCAGAACTATCCAAATGAAGTGAGACCAATGTCTCCATGGTAACAGACAGAGTGTTGTTGTCACCAACTCTGTGTGAGTGTCAGTCTGTTTGATGGCAGTAGCAGTAGAGGAAGAGGAGAAGAAGAGATAAAGACTGATGGATAATTTCACCTCTGTGACATAACTACAATCACCCTGGATAGATAAAACACATTGGAGGGCGATAAAATTAGAATGAGTTTCATTCTACACTCTGAATAAACCAGGGAAGCACTAATGTCAAAGGGTGAAAAATGGACAGTTTGGTTCTGGGTTGAGCAGGCGGAGTGAAGTAGAGACCGAACACAAAAGCACAGTTTAACACATTTATTTATTTAACTCCTTTGACATTAGTAGTTACAGTCTTGTCCCATCGCTGCATCTCCCATACGGACTCGGAAGAGGCAAAGGTCGAGTGCCATGCGTCCTCTGAAACACTGCTCGCTTAAACTGGAAGCCAGCCGCACCAATGTGTTTCAGGAAACACCGTACAGCTGACGACCGTGTCAGCGTGCATGCGCCCGGCCGCCACAAGGAGTCGCTAGAGCGCGATGGGACAAGGACATCCCGGCGCTGGGCCAAATGTGTGGCGCCTCACGGGTCTCCCGGTCGCGGCCGGCTGCAACACAGCCCAGTGACGGCTCAAGCACTGCAGTGCCTTAGACCGCTGCGCCACTCCGGAGGCCTAATATATTTATTTTTAAGGCATGATTTTCTCAATAAGATGTGGCAATCAAGTTCCAGAAATCAATCCATATCCATATCATTCTCCGTACTTTGCTTTCACTTTTATCAATTCCTCTATTATTTCCATTCCTCTTTTACTTTAAAGCTAATTAAAATCAGAAACATATAAACCATACAGAAAACGAAAAGGGACAGCCCAGCAGGCAGGGCTGCGTTCAGTACGTTTTTACATTCTGGAACGTTCAATTGAACGGAAACGCTGCTGTACTGAACGACCAGTTGAAAAACGGGGAGGGGTTGGGTTGTGGGTTGTGGAATGCTGTCAGCATGGCCATTGCCCTTTAAATACGTCACTTATTGCTTCAAGCCACACCTCACCACACCCACCAAACGGGAGAAAATGTACCTCAAGTCTGTTCAAGAACGTACAAGAACGTTTTGGGTGAACGTGTCATTCAGTACAAAACGTTCAAGCGAACTGAATGCACCTCAGGTGTCATGGGGGTTTTAAATAAATACACACATCTAAAATCACTTGATACATCAATTAGCCAATGGGAGCGCTTGTTGTGTTAATGAGGCAACTAATCACACCTGTGACAATCTCCCCCACTTTTCCAGTGTGTCCTCACGTTCAATATTTTAAAGTCACTACCCACTGGGCACAGGTTGAATCAACCGTCAAATGTCGTTTCAATGAAATGAGGTTGAACCAACATGGAATAGACGGTGAATTTATGTCTGTGCCCAGTGGGTAGCCATCTCAAATCACATGGTGCCATTCTTCTGCTTCCCCTGCCTCTTCCCCTGGTAGACCTGGAGCAGAAGGTTTTGGGTGGCCCCACTCCTCTGGGACGGAATCCTTAGCTGTGTCCCGGTGGAAGCTTCCTGCACTCCCCACCACGGTCACCCCATCCACACCGCTCACCCACTTGAGTGGACCATTCCGTCCGGCAGTCATGGCCCACATGGTCGCGATGTGGATTCTTAGTGGCCCACAGTGCATTGTCCACCATGTCTCAGGTCTGCTTGAGCCGTCACTCGTAAGGCACCTCAACACGCTCCAGGCCGGTTCGGTCACACTGGGTCCTCCTCAAGACCAGCAGGGGAAGCTCATTCGTGTGCCCCAGCTACTCAGTAGAACATTAAGGCTGACAGAAACAAAACAGAAGACAGCCAACATAAAAACTGGCCTCTACTCCACAACTTCCCACTCAGCAAGTATGGAGAACGCTATGGATATAGATTGATGTCTGGAACTTGATTGCCACGTCTTATTGAGAAAACCATGCCTTAGAAATAAATGTGTTGAAAACTGCTTTTGTGTTCGGTCTCTACTTCAACCTGCCTGCTCAAACCAGATCCAAACCTATCAATTTTTCACCCTTTGACATGTGACGTAGTTGGCAGGATATATTATTTATGGTTAAATCCCCCATGTTACAGTAAAGACAGGTGCCAGATGGAACCCACAGAGCTGTTGGCACTGGCAGCCATTTTTGTTCCAGAGGGAGCTATAGGAGAGGGGAATTAGGTGGCATCTGAAATGACACGGGGGCCCCTCAGGGGTGCGTGCTCAGTCCCCTCCTGTCCTCTCTGCTCACCCATGACTGCATGGCCAGGCACGACTCCAACACCATCATTAAGTTTGCCGACGACACAACAGTGGTAGGCCTGATCACCGACAACGATGAGACAGCCTATAGGGAGGAGGTCAGAGATCTGGCCGTGTGGTGCCAGGACAACAACCTCTCCCTCAACGTGACCAAGACAAAGGAGATGATTGTGGACTACAGGAAAAAAAAGAGGACTGAGCACGCCCCCATTCTCATCGACGGGGCTGTAGTGGAACAGGTTGAGAGCTTCAAGTTCCTTGGTGTCCACATCACCAACGAACTATCATGATCCAAACACACCAAGACAGTCGTGAAGAGGGCACGACAAAGCCTATTCGCCCTCAGGAGACTAAAAAGATTTGGCATGGGTCCTCAGATCCTCAAAAAATTCTACAGCTGCACCATCGAGAGCATCCTGACTGGTTGCATCACCGCCTGGTATGGCAACTGCTTGGCCTCCGACCGCAAGGCACTACAGAGGGTAGTGCGTACGGCCCAGTACATCACTGGGGCAAAGCTTCCTGCCATCCAGGACCTCTATACCAGGCGGTGTCAGAGGAAGGCCCTCAAAATTGTCAAAGACTCCAGCCACCCTAGTCATAGACTGTTCTCTCTGCTACCGCACGGCAAGCGGTACCGGAGTGCCAAGTCTAGGTCCAAAAGACTTCTCAACAGCTTCTACCCCCAAGCCATAAGACTCCAGAACAGCTAATCATGGCTACCCGGACTATTTGCACTGCCCCCCCACCCCATCCTTTTTACGCTGCTGCTACTCTGTTAAGTATTTATGCATAGTCACTTTAACTCTACCCACATGTACATATTACCTCAACTACCTCAACTAGCCGGTGCCCCCGCACATTGACTCTGCAACGGTACCCCCCTGTATATATAGCCTCCCTACTGTCACTTTATTTTACTTCTGCTCTTTTTTTTCTCAACACTTTTTTTGTTGTTGTTTTATTTTTACTTTTTTTGTTTAAAATAAATGCACTGTTGGTTAAGGGCTGTAAGTAAGCATTTCACTGTAATGTCTGCACTTGTTGTATTCGGCGCATGTGACCAATACAATTTTATTTTATTTTATTTTATTTGACACCGTCTTCCCTATGTAGGGCACTACTTTTGGCCAGGGCCCATAGGGTGACATTTCAGACCCAGGACCAGGTAGCAGTCAGATCCAGGTTACCCAGAGTTAGGCCCCCCAGTGTGTGAGTCGTGCTAAGGATGTGGTGAGGTTACTGCTCAGACATGAGGCTCAGATATGAACTTGATGGATTAGAATACAGTGAAAGGTCACAAATATCAGTCCAGTATTGATATCCGAGATACACTGAGTGTACAAAACATTAGGTGAAAGCTATGATCCCTTATTGATGTCACTTGTTAAATCCACTTCAATCAGTGTAGATGAAGTGTAGGAGACAGGTTAAATAAGGTTTTTAAGCCTTGAGACAATTGAGACATGGATTGTGTATGTGTGTCATTCAGAGGGTGAATGAGCAAGACAAAATATGTAAGTGCCTTTGAACAGGGTATGGTAGTAGGTGACAGGCACACCCGTTTGAATGTGTCAAGAACTGCAACGCGGCTGGGTTTTTTACTCTCAAAAGTACACCACCCAAAGGACATCCAGCCACCTTGACACAACTGTGGGAAGCATTGGAGTCAACATGGGCCAGCATCCCTGTGGAACGCTTTCGACACCTTGTAGTACATTGAGGCTGTTCTGAGGGCAAAAGGGGGTGCAACTCAATATTAGGATGGTGTTCCTAATGTTTTGTACACTCAGTGTATCCTGGGTTGAAATACTTTATCTGTGCTTGATTGAACTTGTCTGTTGCAATAGAACCAATAAAAAAGTCACAAAAGTACAAACCCTGCCCACCTAGCACTCCAGGCAGACTAAAGAAAACGCTCAAAGTATTTGAAAGATTTCAAATAGTACTTGAACCCAGGTCTGTTTTGAGCAGACCTTTGAGTCCATGCAGTAGCTGTTTTGGTCACTGTATCTCTGGGAGATTGGCCAGTACAAATAAAGAAATTGAAGCTTGCCCTAAATCACGAGCCAGTGGCCTTTTTATAGATGCAAATGTGACAATGTTCACTCACTAAATGTCCTGATACCAAACAGGAAAGGGTGACAAATTATACTGTGGCTTTAGGTCTATCCAATTCTAGATGATGATTTTTGAGAATGACTGTTTGAATTTAGATTGAGTTGAAATAATACAAATACTAGCAATAGTAGAAATACTAGAAATACTAGTAATACTAGAAATACTAGAAATATTTGTAATATTTGTCATTCTTCTGGTCTTATTTTACGTTAGATGCTGTATAGTCCAGTCATAGATTGTGTATTGTTTGCATCACCCAGTGGGTTACATTGTGGGGATAGACCCATTCATCACATCCAGCCGGGGCTAGCCTTGTTTTACCATCCTGGACGTATGAGACAACTGGGGGGCTGAGCCAGGATACACATACCAGGGGGACTGCCAGGCAACCAGCGACACCCTAGCCTGCTGCAGCTGTCCCCTGAGACAATCATCTGTGTCGTAACATAAAGAAAGGTCTCCTGCAAGTATATCTATCCACACCCTTTAGGAACCAGCTGGGAGCCACACCCACAGTAGCTGGGTAGCAGCACAGATATTTTGGGTGCTGTGGTGTACAGTAGTGGTGTACAGTAGGTATATCATGTGTTGGGTGTGAAAGTGTAGGAGGACATTTCACACTTGCATGTCTTGGTAATTGTATCAATCACTTACGATCATGTTGGCGTTATTGAACTCCAATCAACACACACACACACACACAATACTGCAACAACCCATATATAGTCTAGGGTAGTGTTGGGATCTATTTTCTTATGACTAGATGTGATGCCTAGCTTAAAAAGAATACATTAATGATTAAACATAATAGGTTTGTGCTGTACTGATATAGATTGTTTAACATAACAAGCTGTGATTAATGTGAGGAACCGTTAGGGGGTAGGCTGAGATAAACTTGTGACTCACACACAAACACTGCCTCTTTGTTAAACCGCTCAAGGACATGTGTACTGCAACAGAAACAACTAACACCTGGCAACAGGGATGCGCCAAGGGCCTGGGACCAGCCTGAGCGCCATCGATAGGTTGGGTAAGTTTAAACCACACCCAGCCTCTACTCTGACAGGCCCAGCCTGGAGCAGGAACTATCTCTGTCAGAGTATTAAAGAATAACCTTGGGTTGAAAAAGTTAGATCTCTGTCTGCCCTGCGTGGTGTTTCAGTGGGCCCGTATATACGAACATCATATTTACCATTCAAGTGTTTGCATTAATTAAAATACTATTCTATTTTAGAAGACGTGTATTGACCTCTTTTTGTTCCTATACCAGATTTGAATTGACACAATTTGACAGTAGGAAGACGAGAGATGTGAACAGGCGGGAACAACTTGAGGCCCAGACAGAGAATGTAGTACTGTTTACAGCAGATGGGGAAGCTACTGTTCGTCTGCACGTTCATCAATATCTGAACACAAGCAGCATCTCACGCAAATAATGGATGGTACTGTGTATCACATACGGTAGCTGTCAGTAATTATCATAAATTAGTCGGCAAGCCCGCTATCCGTACCGTAACCTTAACAAGCTCTCTGATATCTAAAAAGACCATCTAAGATCTTGTCTCATTAAAATATCTATGTTCTTTCCATGCCTATGTTGTGTATTTCTTACATTGAGGTTGATGTTGTTGACCTTCCCAGGCAGACTCATATGAGTTTGTGAGAGTTCCTAAGGAGTTACTCTAGAACCGTGGCGGGATGCTGATCTAACCCATGACCAGATCAGATGTGCTCATCCATCAACTGAACTAGGTGCTAATATTATTACACATCTAGATATGATGATGGAAGTCTCCATGTACCACCAGATAGCCCTCATTACCCAAACATAGATGCATAATACTCCTGACCATGTATCCCCATTAGGTTACCAGTAGCTTTATATGTTTTATTGAGGATATGTACCATTTCTACTATAGTGTAGGACCAAATATAATCTCCTCGCTGTCCATTCTCTATAGCATAAATAATTGTATTGTGCATTACTTAAGTGGTCATTAAGTTGATGTAATATTTCAACATCTCAAAATGAAATTATATAAATGGCAGGCGGTTTTACTATAAATTATACTACCACTGCCTGCTTTGGCCACTACTGAAATAACACCCAGTTTATCAGTACAAGCTAAGCAGTATTCTCCCGAGTGGCGCAGTGGTCTAAGGCACTGCATCGCAGTGCTAGCTGTGCCACTAGAGATCCTGGTTCGAGTCCAGGCTCTGTCGCAGCCGGCCGC